AAACGGAATATTCAGTCGAGTGTTTTGGGCATTTCAACCATGCATCACAGGATTTGCATCATGCAAACCAATTATACAAATTGATGGGACTTAGTTGTATGGGAAGTACAAAGGCACGCTATTGATGGCAGTTGCACAAGACGGCAACAACAACATTTTCCCCATTGCCTTTGCCCTTGTCGAGGGGGAGACCGGTGGTGCTTGGAGTTTTTTTCTGAAAAATCTGCGGACACACGTGGCTCCTCAACCAGATCTCTGTTTGATCTCGGACAGACATGCCTCCATTGAAAGTGCCTACAATAATCCTACAAACGGTTGGCATGACCCTCCTTCTACGCATGTCTATTGCATTAGGCATATCGTCCAGAATTTCACGAGGGAAATCAAGGATAAAACTTTAAGGAAAGCGGTTATGAATGCGAGATATGCATTGACACAACCCACATTCAAATATTACCGCAACGAGATCCGTTTGTCAAATCCGGAAGCCGGTAGGTGGATCGACAATATTTCGGTGGAAAAATGGACTAGGTCATACGACAATGGCCAAAGATGGGGGCACATGACAACGAATCTTATTGAATCAATAAATGGGGTATTCAAAGGCATACTAAACCTCCCGATCACTGCTTTGGTAAAATATACGTATTTTAGGATGGCTGCGTTATTTGCCAAAAGAGGTGAAATGTGGAATGCGGTGTTGCAATCTGGACAACTATGGAGTGAAAGCTGCATGAAATACATTAAGGCAGAAAGTGCCAAAGCCAACACTCATATCGTTATACGGTTTGACCGACACAGCCACAACTTCATTGTGAAAGAGACAATCGACCACAACGAAGGCCTACCAAGACAAGAATATAGGGTCATGCTACCTTCTCGTTGGTGCGATTGTGGCAGGTTTCAAGCATTTCGCATGCCTTGCTCTCATGTCATTGCCGCTTGTGCTCATACCCATCAAGACGCGCTGCAACTTCTGTCAAACATTTACAAATCTGAAACGTTGCTCAACGTTTACAACAACAACTTTTCTTTGGTAGAAAAACCAGATTATTGGCCTGCATACGACGGCGAAATAGTGTGGCACAATGACCAAATGCGGAGGAACAAGAAGGGTCGTCCCAAAAGTAAGCGCATCACAACAGAAATGAACGATCTTGACAAGTTGGAAAGAAAGTGTGATTTATGCCGTTAGGTCAGACACAATCGCAAAAATTGTCCGAATCGGGTGTCTGCCTCGACCACATAAAAATTGTAATACATAAAATATTTCCTTAATTATGTTGTAAACATTAGGGTTTTCCGTTAACAGATTTTGCTACAATAAATATTGCACGTACAAGAAAAATTAACGATATTCCGTCTACGAAATTACAACTGTTAACACAATTTCATCTGACTCATGCATCATCAACATTACATCGTTGTCTGTTTTGACTTCCTCCAACCAAACATTAGGTCTTCCTGTCGCATGTGAGGTTGTTGTTCGTTTTCGCTGGATCCTTCGAATTGTTTCCCCCTCCGCAATGTCTCCATCTAGCCATCGCATCAAATCCCGCTTCAGATGCTCCATGGAGTGAATGTACCAGAATTTCATTTTCATCGCAGGTTTCGTGGCGGAGAAGATAACGTAACCATCTCTGCTAAAAATCATGGGCGACGTCATGACGCAAATAACAGAGTAAAAAATAAAAATACAGTGCGAGAAAGTGTGCGAAATTTCGGAGAAACAAACGAATTATTTATAAAACAGCATTTTGCCCTAGTTTTGCTCTAGGAGCCAAGTGAGATGGCGCCTCCTCTCACTTTTAAGGAGCATGCGCCATCTTACTTGGCTAAAAGTGAAGGGAGGCGCCAAGTGAGATGGCGCCTAGGGCAAAAGTGGGGGAGGATGCGCCAATTGAGATGGCTCCTCCTTTGGGGAGTCATCTGAAACATGATTATTTGCGTAATTTTTTCTGAAACGCGGTTATTTGCGAAATATTATTTTAATACTTGGTTATTGTAAAAAAAAATCTTACTTTTCTTGTTTCATATAATTTCGCGCATTTGATTTTAAAATGTAACAAAAATAAAATGATATAAAGACAAAATTGTTTAACTAAAATAATTTATTATTTTTAAAATAGATAATGAATCGGTGTCTATAAATTTTTCTCATATAACAAATATTTGAATCAATAATATTATGATTGTTTTTTTATATTATTTTTGTTTTCGTTATTATTAAATTTTTCATATTAAGAGAAAATAAAATTATTAAAATTTTAAATAAATATGATTTTCATATTTGAATCAATAATTATATGTTATATGTTATTTTTATGATTATAAAATAATTAAGAATATTTTATATTATTATACAATTTTGATATTATTTAATTCATACATTACTTATGTATTTATTCTAGATCCCAATACTATACTTCGTAATCTTACTAATTTTTATATTATATTTTATTATCTTTTGTACTCTTTAATTTTTAATACATTTCACCCGTCTTATTTTATGCCCCATTGTATTAGTATTTATATTGAAAATTCATTTAATTCGTTTATGTTGTAGGGTCATTTTGTGCTAGAAAAAAGATTTTATGATTATTGATTTAATTATATAATATAATAGCATACCATATATATTATAGCATAAATACGTTTAAATGAATAAAATATTTTTAGTACATTTTCATTTATCATAAATAAAATTTTATATCAATTATTTTATCTTAAGATGTTATAGTATTTATAATTTTAGAGATACATTATATTTTAAAATAGAAAAAAAAAACATGGATATTGTAATAAATAATTTTTTTGACTTTTGTTAATGGCAAAATATAGATGGTAAACATGAAAATAAGATAATTTTAAAAATATGGTATGAAAATGATAAGTTAGATGTGTATCATATATTTAATTTAGATAAGTTTATTTGTTTTGAAACTGTTGTTTTTTATTTTTATAAATAGGTTATAAGTTTGAAAGAAAAAATATTATTTTAATTATAGAAAATACATAATTAATTAAAAAATATTATTTTTAATTATAACTTATTAATTACAATTTAAATTTTTTATATGGAATATATTAAAAATAGAACAATTTGAATAGAAAAATGGAGTTTTGTTTTTGACTAAAAAGTTCTGTGCACATTTTAGTAAGTTAGAATTACACTTAAATGATTAGAATTAAAGAAGTATAAAAATCTAAAATCAATTATAGTATGAATTTCTCCATTTAATAATTTCTTTATATAAATTAAATGATTCAACTTTATTATTTTTTATTACTAATATAAAAAAGAAAATCATACCATAATATAGCTGTGACATAAATAGATACCAATTTTATTTTGTCAAAAAAAAATCCATAGGTAGAAACATGAATTAAAAAAAACCGTGGACTTTTGTTTTTCAGTAAAAAGTTTTGTGACACATTTTGTTAAGTTAAATTACACTTAAATAATTGGAATTAAAAAATATAAAAATATAAAATCAATTCCACTTGAAATTCCCTTATTTAATAATTTTTTTTATATAAATTAAATGATCCAACTCCATTTAATAATTTCTTTATATAAACTAAATAATCTAACTTTATTATTTATTACTTCTAAATTTAGTGCCTGTGAAATATTTTAAAAAAATCATACCAATTATGTTAGAATGTTTATTTAGAATCAATCTAAAGTCATCAGCATTTTCTAAATTAATTATATTTTTTACTTTTTTGTTAACATGTTTTTTATGCTATTTCAATTTATCAATTATTTATTTTAATTTGTTATAAAACTATTTTTTTAAATTATAAAAGATAATTTGAAAATATTTGTTTATTTTAGGATTTTAATGGTCTACTATTGTTATTGTTATTAAATTTAAGTTTAATAACTTTCCACTAACACAATTATAAAAATTACATGTTCTTTTTTTACCAGTCACCCACACCATTTACTCATCCCCTAACTACTATTTATGAATCGTGTTTTATTATTGTATGAAATATTATATGAATTCATGTGTTTTAAATTGATTGTTCTGATGGAGTAATAAAAAAAAGTGAGTAATAAAATAGTTATTCCCCATTTAATTACATTCATGGTTCTTATTTTTTTCTCTTTTAAGAATATTTTACGGTGAAATCAAATAAACCTACATTATCCTTGACCTTTCAATCTAGTATAGTACTACTATTTGTTTATCAACTATACACACGTAAATCATGCATGACATAGTAGTAGTAAGGCACAGTTTAAATATGAAGAAAAATGTTAAGGATATGGTTCTGTTTGGCCCTCCGTGAACATTGAACACAATGTCCCAAAGAAACCTTAATATCAACATAATGATCCATGTAATACAACGTCCACCTTGTGTTAACGTGGGACTTCACAGTAACCTTTGTGTTATAGAGCCCTAGCTACACCATAGCTAGACGTTTCAACTTAATTTCAATTTTCAACTTCCTTAACTTCATGCTTTCAACTTCATACTGAACCTATCTCTTCTCACTTCAATTCCCAATGCCTAGCCTTCACCTATACCTTACAACCCAACCGCCTGTCTTTCTTTGTTAATTACTTTTATACCCTTCAATGCCCTCTCTTTCATTCCCAAGACAAACCTTAGTAAATCTATCTTAAACACTCTCTATGTATACCTATGCACAAAAAACAATAGGAAGATGAAAAGATAGGGCCATTTGGGGAATTATTATTGTTTTCTTATCCTAAATATTCTACTACTACTACTATAACAAAGACGAAGAAACCTAAGCAAATATTAACCTCTCTCTCAACCTCCATGTTTTCAGAAATGTTGTACACCAAAAACAATACGCATGTTAAATTTTTTCATTAATAATCAAACTCTCTCTCTCTTTCTCAAATCTCAACTCTCAACCAATCTCAACCAACTTCGTTATTTATGAGTATCATATCACTCTATAAAACAGTGTACTAACATTGGAAATATTATTGTGGTTTTCAGCATTAGGAGAAGATGGAGAGTGAGAGTGAGCAGAATAATGAGATCAATGAAGAAGGTTTGAATGAGAATGGAAATAACACTAATAACAGTATTTCATCAAGTTCACGATGGAATCCAACAAAAGAACAAATAACTCTTCTGGAGAATTTGTATAAGCAAGGTATAAAAACACCAAGTGCCGATGAAATACAACAGATTACCGCTAGGCTTAGAGCCTATGGTCACATCGAAGGAAAGAATGTCTTTTACTGGTTTCAGAATCATAAAGCTAGACAAAGACAGAAGCAGAAGCAAGAAAATATCACTTATTTCAACCGGTTTCTTCATAGACCTCAACCCATTTTTCCTTCACCGATTTATCCCAATAGTAAGTTCTCATATTTTCATATTTTCTTCATATTTTCTTGTTTACCTTCTTCATAGATAATTATTTTTTAGTGCTACAAAAGCTACTTTTTGATCCGAAAAAGAAAAAAGTACTTTTTTTTAATATTTGATTATTTTATCTGGTTTTCAGCTATCTGTAGACCATATTGCATACCACAGCAACACAGTCATGAATTCAGCTATTACACTCAAAATCCAAAAGTGCTTCTACCTGCAGTAGGTTATAGAAGGAACCAAGGTGAAAAAGTAATGTCAAATACTAGCATGTCAAACTCAAATGTCTACAATAATCCAATGGTATATGAAAACAACATGCAAAAGAGAATATCAGAATATGAAACGTTGGATCTGTTTCCACTGCATCCAACTGGCATATTGGAAGGCAAAAAAACTGAGCAGGTGTCTTCCATTGTTTCAGTTTCTGCCGATAGTTCTACTGATGCAAATTCTGGTTCTCCTCATCATGTTATCAATCAACCCTTCTTTGACTTTTTTAATAATTCTGTAGGACAAGGTTCTTAGGTTAGTTTGGAGGTTGTTTAATGTTACAGGTGAAAGTACAAGCATGCAACTTTGAGTACCACAGTTTGTTATCGATCAATGATATGGGTTTGTGTTGTTTAGTGGCTTCTATTTTTCTTCCACATTCTTTCTTGAAGGCATTCATCTATATATTCTTTTTGTATATTTACTCTGTTTTAAAATGTATGTGGTTTTATTAAATAAATTTTGTTTTTGAATGATTATCTTTTTTATTTTTTAATATAATAATGAATAATAATTTTTTAATTGTGTCATTTATATGAATTTTTATTCAAACTTTTTCTCCAAATATCATAAATGACATATTATATTTTAAAAATATATGAATAATTATTTGATTTGTTTGATATTGCGGTAATAAAATTTATTTTTAATTAATTGATATTGTAAGAATAAATATTCAATTCGTCATTTGTCTATATATGAGAAGAATTTGAATAGCGTAAAAAGAAACATTATTGATTTATATTAATATTTCATTATATCTTTACCTTATCATTTGGTTTGATTTTTTTTATAAGCAAATTTATATTGAAAGGGAGTTTTGCTCCCAATCAAATACAATGAATTAACCCTTACTAATGTTTGTTTGATAAAATTTGTTAGCAGTTAATAATTGATGATTTATAGTTGATAATTAGTAATTGATGGTTAATAATTGATTATTAATAATTTAGTTTGAGTGTTTGTTAAATTAACTGTTATATTTACTGACAAATAATATAAAAAAACATTTTTAATTAAGAAATTGATAGTCTTAATATATTTTTGTTAAAATAATAAATATATAAGTGAAAGAAAAAACTATAAATTAAAACTACTCAAAAGCTACTTCAAATAATTTTTTTTTTTTAAATTAAAAACTACTCAAAAACTACTTCAAATAATTTTTTTAAAAAATGAAAAACTAATAAAAAAATTACAAACTAAAAACTAAATGACAATTATTAAATCTAATTTTTTTATTAATATGAACTTAAAATCTAAAAACTAAAAACTAAAAATTAAAAATTAAAAACTAAAAACTCTATTTTTAGTGTTACCATACAGAAACTAAGACACAAAAGAGGAGTCTTACTCCAATTGTAAAAATTGGAACAAACACTCAGACTTTAGAGCCATAAAATGCCACGACCAAGCATGTCATTTGAGACATTTAAAGTAATAATTACACACATTTAAATATTTACTTTTTAAAATAATTTTTTAACACATTTAAATATTTTTTTAAAGCCAAAAAATATATATTTTTTGTTAATATTCAATTTTCTATAATTTTTAATATTTTTAAATAATTTATAATTTTGTTTGTAAATACTTTTATTTGAATTTATTTTTTTTTAAATGTCACAAGAGCCGTCACTATTAAGTAAATTTTGGTACGTTTAAATGTGACTGTTTTTGTGATAGTGAGGGTTCTTCGTGCATTTTATGATGAAATATTCAAAAAAAATTATAGTTAATATTTTAAAATTATTTGTGATGTTAATTTATATAAATTTTTATTTAAATTGAAGAAAAAAAAGAATAATGGAGTGAAAATAATAAAAAGATTTTATTTATGAGGGTTTTGGAGAGTTTTAATTTCAGTTATAACACAAAATCTCCTTAATTTGAAAAAACTAAAAAATTGTTTTGTAGGAGGAGTTTTGAAGAATTTACGCGAATAAGTCAAATATATTTAGATGGTTATAATATCTAAAAAATTAAAACGCATTAATGATAAATACTCTTTTATTATTTTAAATAAAGTTTTTTTTTAATATTTAAAATTTCTCTAAACTTTTTTTGAAAAAAAATTCAAAGTCCTACGTTCCTCTCCTCTTCCGTCATTGTTATTATACAAATAGTTTCATAGTTAAATGTTGTTTGTTTGGTTATTATGAGGATTTTTGAGACATTTTGAGAATGAACGCTCAATTAAAAATCTATACAAGTTGTTTTGAAGAATATTAAAATTATAAATCATTTAAAAAAATAAAAATAAAAGTAAAAAGGTAGTGCCACATCACATAATTTGTTGACTATTTCGATTGAAAGTTTAAAATATGATATTCTTTAAACGATTCTTTATTTTTTTATAGGAGAATTTTTTTTATTCGCCATATATAGTGGGGAGTGGTCGTCGGTGCACAAGACATGATAATGAGAGGCTTCTGGAAGCTTCTACAGAAAAAACCAAACTAACATCAAAATACGAGGGATTTTGAGTTTGTGCATGTATGAAACTGCATGGTTGAATGAATGCTTATAAGGATTGATTGGTACTACCTATACCAACAAGATGAATCTTCTTTTCAGTATCCTAACAAATAAGAATTCCATAGTTAAGTGTGTTTGACTTGGAGTAGTATTTAGATGAGTGACTTTCTAGGAAGTTTACAAGAAAGTGTGTCAGTGAGGACAAAGCATACCGAAAAGACTTGTGTTAGTTTGTGGGATCGGTCGATAATCTTGAAAGTAGTCTAGGGCATTACAAATGGTATCAGAGCAGACCTCTGCCAATACAATATGGTCCGGAGACGTGTAACACTCGAGGCCTACAAGGGTGAGGAGTGATCGTCGGTGCACAATGCATGACAATGAGTGGCTCCTGGCAACTTCTAGGAAAAAACTAACTTCACATTAGAATGAGAGGGGTCATGTGACAGTGCAGGTATGTGATTGCATGGTTAAAAGAAGACTTATACGGATTAATTGGTACTGCCTATACCAATAAGATGCATCATCTTTTCGGTAGCCTAACAAATAAGAACTCCATAGATAAATATGCTTGATTTGGAGTAGTATTTGGATGAGTGACCTTCTTAAAAGTAGAATTCACTACTCAACCATTGTGCTAGTGACAAAAATGACTTGAGAACCTGTTGGACAAAAGACTTTTGGGAGTTTAAACGGAGAAGTCATACCTTTCTGGCCCGAGTAGTAGTTAGGTGGACAAGATGCTACACTCCGACTCGGTTCAGTATATCGTAAGTTGTGTGTGGATTACCCAGTAAAGGATTGATATAAAAAGTGGAATTGGTGGTCTCTAATTGGGAAGTTATTGGACACCCGATTAGAGAAGGGACTGTTGTATCTTTTTTCTTGCCAATTTGTGATTAAGTCCTAGAACTACGCTAGGCGGCGACTGAAGTGAGTGGAAGCATGAAGTACAGTAGCCTAAGTTCTTGCTAGCTATGATTCGCCTGACCCTGAGTGAAGCCATAGAACTATGCTTGGCGTTGAGTAATCAGATGAATGGAAGCTAGTGTCTATCTGGACCATCAGCAGGACGACTGCAAATTTTCCAATTGTTTGGAACCATGGTATTCCTATCTGGCAGGATTAGCCTTAGAATCTCTTATGCATGTACTGTACGGGTAAGTACTCGCATGGCATAACCGTTTGAGATGAAATCTTACCCAATTATATTTGGCTTGTTGCCTTTCGAGTAAGTAAACCCTGAGCGTGTGGCAGTCTTAGGTTTTAATATCCTAACGAGCGTGGCTGGAAGGTTTTGAGGAGCAATGACCTATGTGGAAACCTGTTCGAATATTTTTCGGTCGTGACTATAGGATACGGGTGGAGATCGTTATACACTGCTAGGGTAGGTTACTTGAGATCATGGCCTCAGAGTTGGACCACCATGTTAGTACTACCAGACAGATATAACACCACAATATCACTATCGTGCACGAGATGCATGAGTTGTCTTTTCCTGACAGATGTGGAACAATGTTGATCTGAAAGTCAAGGTAGGATTCTAAATTAGTACTTGTGAACCGCGTATCCAATTTCTCATGAGGTAAGTATGATAAGGATCCATATGTCGCACTTGATAGTGGAGGACTACTCAGGCAGCGATAGTGGGATGAATCAAGTTTTGATACTATAATTGTGAGGGCCATGAGTGGTTATGGTCGCGTAAGTAAATATCACATTATACGTGGTTGATGTTTCTTATTTTATGGAATGTTAAGAGGATAACATTGTGTGAATGCCCAAGGTGGAACTGATGTGAGATTATCATATCCTGGCCACCATGTAGGATGGTTGTTCTTAAACATTGGTGATCAGTGCTAGAATATATGAAATATATCATAGGATATCCCGATGTGAGATGTACCTAGAGGAGTATTTGTAAATCCTCAGAAGTGAAGGAATGTCAGTCTCGGTAAAGAAGGGACGCATTGGTTTTTGGAGTGCTAAGAAATTTCAAAGGAAAATGTTCGAGGCATGAAGTATGATTCCTTGCATTGTAGTCGTGCTCTAGACATTAGAAATGTTGTATTGGGGAATGCAATCGAGGAAGTCATTTTAGTGATAGTTTCGGTAAAATGAGGCATGGTAATTAGACGATCCTAGCTAGCTTTAAGTGGGAAACTGAATTTGCATCTGGTATGAGAAGGATCCTGAGGTTGTGCAGGTATGGGACTGCATAGTTGAAGGAAAAAATATAAGGATTTGTATTGGTTTGTGGGGTTAGTCACTGATCCCGAAGGAAATCTGAGGCGTTACACATGACATTAGACAACTACATAGACAAGTGTGACTGTGAAAGGATTGTTACATCAGTTAAGTCACATAAGTTAATATAAGTGTTGTCACGCTAAGAGTATGAAGTCGCGTGGTTAGGAAGAAGTTATAGAAAAGTTGGCAGAGTTATCGTAGTAGTTGTACGATGTGATAATAGGTGGAGTAAGACGAACTCCTATTCAGTAAGCGATCAATGTTAGATGTCCAAGAACCGAAAGCGTTGACCATGTTATATTCAAGTGGACCTAACCCAGACTGATGGAATCATTAGTGACCTGATCTTGGAATTATTCAACCTAGATGAGTGGTTGTTCATGAGTGTGTTTAAGACTCTAACACATATCGTGATTAGACGAATTCCGAGAGAGAATTGTTGTTGTTAAGGGATTGAGTAAAGTGTAGTAAAACTATGGAAATTAGTGGATTGTGGACAAAGTGTGATTCAGTAGGTTTCAAGAAGT